GGTTATCACCAGTAATCACTAAGAAATCCAGCAAGGAAATTCCTGGAAATCTTTGGTAATCACTGGTAATCTTGGTAATCTTTGGTAATCACTGGTAATCAATGGAAATCAATGGCAGTCGCGATGGCAATCTTTGGTAATCTCTGGTAACCTTTTGACAGTAGTAATCTTCGGAAATCCTTTATAATCATTGGTAATCTTTGGTAATCTCAGGTAATCCTTGGTAATCATCACTTTTTGGTAATCAGGTGTACACCGATTTTTTCGAGTTGGGCACCCCTCGGCCGACAGGGAAGGGTAGGGGAGGGGGGAGGGCGATCGGCCCTTTGCCCGCGCCCCGCGCCCGATCGCCAGGGGCCTTCTCCTGCAGCACTATGCCACCCTGTAAAATGCTTGCAAACTATCTTATTTGCTGCAATATTGCAAAGAATGTGCGAGCTTTGAATTGGAAAGAACAAGTCTGTACTACTGCAAAGAAATTATTTGCAAGAAACTGTCAGGTGTTCGTATTGCAAGAGAATAGTTTGCAAGCCTAGCAAGAACTAGTTCGTGAATTACAATGCTTCAAAACGTAACAGAAAACGTAACAAGCTGACGTTCCGTTTCTTTTACGGCCAGCCTGGAAATCGAAGTGTGCGAGTGTCTCACAACTGCAGATGAGTGAAAAAATTCACACACATACTGTACTGGTGTGCGACAAAATTTTTACACATCTGTAGATGAGTGAATGACCATTCGCACACTTGGGGCGAGTAAACCTTTCCAAGCGTGCGAATCTCGATTCGCTCACCTACACATGTGTGAATGTTTTATCGCTCATCTACAAGAGTGTGAACTTTTGTCACTCACGTGCAGGTGTGCGACATTTGCACACTTGAGTTTCTTGATCACCACGTTTGTTTCAGAGTTCGAGACATTTCATCCTCCGTGATGATACACTTACACGCATGGCGGGGAACTGAACGACTGCACTCGCACCCAGCTCGCGGCGCCGGCGGTGCGCGGGGCTCCGCCACGGGGCTCGCCGTGAACACAAACACCCCTCGCGTTCACTGTTTACCGTTCCGCCGTGCCTATTGGGGGCGGCCCGGCGCTCTCCAGAGAGAGCGAGAGAGAGCTAGAGAGCTAGAGAGCTAGAGAGCGAGAGAGCGAGAGAGAGAGACGGCAGATGGTGCGAACGCGACAAAGACAGCCTCTCGGCGGCGCCCCCCACACCTGCCGCCCACATCAGCCTGTCTTTCGCACGTGTGCGACGCGGACAGCCGGAAGGCCGAACCGACGACGACGCTCTGCGGGGCGGACGGGGCGGGGCGGACGCCGCTGTGGTCAGGGGTCTGCTCGGCGATACCCCGCGCCAGGCGCTGGCGTCTCTTCTCTGCGCCGCTCGGCGGCGCGGGTCGCAGCAAAGACGAGTGATGCGGCATGCCTTCCCTTGGGCCCCCGTGTCTCGACTCTTGCGGTGGTGACACTCTGAGGAGGGAGCGCTCCGGAAATGCCCTCCACTCCACGCTGACGCCGTCGCGCCCTGGCCGCGGCCACCCCTAGACAACGCGTGCTCGCCGGGGCTCTGCAACCGCAGGCCGCGCATCTGCCAGCATCTGCCGCAGGTCCAGACCTCCCGGCCACAAGCAGCCACAGCCACCAAGCGGCCGGTAGGGTTCTCAAAAGGGCGTCTCGGAAAGCACTGAGCATGTGTGAGCGAGGCGCTCCAACAGGCTCCCTCTCACTCGCACCACAGTCGCGCCGGCAGCCTTATTCGGACGCGAGGGGGATGCCGCATAAGCGGACCTGTCTATCTCCCTCTTTTCGCGAGTGTGACAAGGACGGGAAGAGATAGAGAGAGAGGTAACGGTGGGTCGCCTCCTCGCAGCAGGTTGCAGGTCCGGGGCTGTCCCTCCTTCGCTGCTCTAGGACTTGGGGCCGGCCGGCCGCGCCGGGCCGTGGGGCTAACCGCTGGGGTCAAGGGCTCCAGATAGCATCGCGCCAGACGGGCTCAATCCATAAAGGCGTCCTGCACGCCGCCCCGCCCCG